ATATTTTTAATTAAGAGGTTTGTCTTAAAACTTATAAGAGTGTAGCTGTATCAATAGGATAATATATTTTATTAAACTTATTTTATATTTTAAATAGAATAATAGAAAATTAGGACTGGAAGGGACTTCAGGAGGTCATCCAGTACAACCCCTTGTTCAAAGCAGGACCATCTCCAACTATGGCATCACAGCCAAAGTTTGTCTAGCCACGTCTTAAAAACCTATAAGGATGGAGAGTTCACCATCACTCTGGGTAACCTGTTCCAGTGTTTTACTACCCTCCTAGAGAGAAGATACTTCCTAATATCTAACCTAACCTAAACTTTCCTTGCTACAACTTGGGACTGTTGCTCCTTGTTCTGTCATCTTCCATCACTGAGAACAGTCTAGCTCCATCCTCTTTTGAACCCCACTTCAAGTAATTGAAGGCTTCTATTAAATCCCCTCTCAGTCTTCTCTTCTCTGGACTAAATAAGGCCAGTTCCCTCGGACACTCCTCAGAACTCATGTCCCCCAGCCCCCAAAACTATTTTTCTTTCCTTCTGCTGGACTCTCTCCAGTTGGTCCACAGTTGTCTACTGTAACCCCCAGGTCCTTTTCTGCAAAGCTGCTGCCCAGCCAGTTAGTCCCCAGCCTGTACCGATACATGGGATTCTTCCATCCTAAGCACTGCACTTGTCCTTGTTGAACTGGCTGCCAACTAGACATAGAGCCATTACTTATTACTCTTTGAGCCTGATGCTCCAACCAGTTTTCTGTCCACCTTACAGTCCATTCATCCAGCCCATACTTCCTTAGCTTGCCTGCAAGAATGTTGTGGGATACCATATCAAAAGCCTTGCTAAAATAAAGGTATACCACATCCACTGGTCTCCCTGCATCCACAGAGCTAGTCATCTCATCATAGAAGGCAATCAGGTTTGTCAGGCATGACTTGCCCTTGGTGACTCCATGTTGACCGTTCCTAATCACCTTTTCCTCCTCCAAGTGCTTAGAATTGGATTCCTTGAGGATCTGCTTCATGATTTTTCCAGGGACTGAGGTGAGGACCAATCTGTAGTTCCCTGAATCTTCCTTTTTTCCCATTCTTAAATATGGGCCCTATGTTTTCCTGTTTTCAATCATTCAGGACCTCTCCCTACTACCATGAGTTTTCAAAGATGATGACCAGCAGCTCTGCAATCACATCAGCCAGCTCCCTCATCACCCTTGGGTACCTCCCATCTGGCTCCATGGACTTGTATATGTCCAGCTTTTCTAAATAATCCCTGACTTGTTCTTTCACCACTGTTGACTATTCCCCTCCTCCCCAAACTGTGCTGTCCAGCGCAGTAGTCTGGGAGCTGACCTTGTCTGTGAAGACTGAGGTGAAAAAGGCATTGAGTACTTCAGCCTTTTCTGTATCCTCTGTCACTAGTTTGTCTCTCCCATTCAGTAAGGGACCCACACTTTCCCTGATCTTCCTCTTGTTACTGACATACTTGTAAAAAACCCTTTTTGTTGCCCTTCACATCCCTTGCTAGCTGCAATTCCAATTGCACTTTGGCCTTCCTTAATTCATCCCTGCATGCTGGAACAATGCTCTTATACTCTTCCCTAGTTGTTTGTCCAAGTTTCTACTTATAAGCTTCCTTTTTTTTGTTAGCTTACTAAGAGTTCCTTGCTAGGCTAAGCTTGTCTTCCACCATGCTTACTAGTCTCCGGGCACATGGGGATGGTTTGTTCCTCCTGCACTCTCAGTAAGCCTTCTTTAGAGTACAGCCAGCTCTCCTGGACTCCTCTACCCCTCAAACTGGCTTCCCAAGGGATCCTGCCCATGAGTTCCATAAGCGAATTGAAGCCTGCTTTTTTGAAACTTCCATCCTTCTTTTTCTTGGTATCCTGAACTCAAACCTCTGGTCACTGCTGCCCAACTTGCTACATCCACTTCTGCATTCCCCACCAATTCTTCCCTGTTTGTGAGCAGCAGATCAAGAAGATCATGGCCCCTAGTTGGTCGCTCCAGCACTTGTACCAGGAAATTATCCCCTACGGTCTCCAAAAAATGCCCTGGATTGCCTGTGCACTGCTGTATTGCCCTCCCAGCAGATTTCAGGGTGATTGAAGTCCCCCATGAGAACAAAGCCTGTGATCAGGAAACTTCCACTAGTTGTTTGAAGAATGCCTCATCTACCATTTCCTCCTGGTCTGGTGTATAGTAGAGCCCCAACACAACATCACCCATGTTGCTTTCCCCTCTGACTGTAACCCAGAGACTTTCAATGGGCACAGGCCTATCTCCAGTTTCATACTGGAGCTCTTCAAGCAAGTGATATGGCTCTTTTACGTAAAGTGCAACTCCTGGTCCTCTTCTCCCATGTCTGTCCTTCCTGAGCAGTGCACCAAATAGGGGTGCACCAATAAAGATTTTCTTGGCTAATACGGATAGCCAATTATTAACCGACCATATCAGCTGATGCCAATGCGATAACCAATTTATTTTAAAATGCAAGGTGTTTTAAAGTACTGACATATAAACCTTTTCTTTTTTGCACACTCCAGCAGCCTCCTGCATCACATGCACCAGCATCCCAGTGCTTAAAAATGACGGTGGAGGAACTTGAACTAAAGCTCATCGAATGAGCTTTAGTTCAAGCGCCGCCACCACCATTTTTAAGCATGGGGATGCTTCTAAGTGGATCAGAGCTGAGCAGGGTGTGTGTGGATGTGGGCTTTCTGCTGTGGGCTCAGGGCTCTCTGCTCTGCTGCCTTTGGGATCCCCGCCCTGGCCGCGCACCACCTGCCAGCCCAGCGGTGGGAGGCACAGCTCACTGCGCCTGCTTCTGCTGGGTGGACAGAGGGCACACAGCCAGCAAGGGAAAGGCAGCAGAGTGGGAAGCCCTGAGCCCACAGTGAGCAGACCACATCCACCCTGTGCACAAATCTGGTGGGGGGGCACATGCCCCCCTATGCCTCCCCCAGGGGGTGTGCTCAGTGGTAGGGAACCACCCCTCCACGTCCCCTGAATGAGCCTCCTGTGGCTCCATCCCACTCTACCCTGGCATTGGGTCCCACGCACCGTCCTGGCTGGGCAGTGCCCCCTGCCCCTTACAGATCAAGATCTGCCCCCCTCCCCTGCACTGCTTCCCTTCCATAGACTTATCTGCAGGGAGCTGCTCTTCATGCTGATCAGCTGTATTCCTGGCCAGTGCATGTGTGTGGCCATGCACATGGCGCCCCCTGTGCCTTGCTCTCAGCAGCCCTAAGCAGGACCCCTTGCAGGCTAGAATGCTGCCTGCCTGCAAGGGAAAACCTGCCACTTCCCAAGGGGCCCCAGCGCTGTGGGAGAGGAGGAACCCAGGTGTCCAGGGCCCTGGCGAGAAGACATAATTATCGGTAAACATTATTGGCTAAAACAGCCAAAAAAAAAAAAAGCTGATAATGTCATTTCCCCTTTTATTGGTACCAGTGCAATAGGCATATCCATGCACCTCTAATTAAAAAATATAGTACTACATAATATATAGTACATTAATAATACCCTTGAGCAGAAATCTAGTTTCCCTTTGGGAGGGGCAAGAGAACTGCTGGGTTCGAAAAAGTCTTTGGAAAATTCTTGTCCCAAATTTGGGATGAGAGAAGTACATGAGCCATCCAATAATGTAAATTTAAGTCTTTATGTTAAAAAGTATATAAAAAAATTGGGTACTAAGAGTTATGAGGCAAGCCTACAGAATACCTTGATGCAGAATTGTATTCTGGGGGTTGCAGACAGCTGGTGAGCAAGACAACTGATCAGCTTCATTGTCGCTATGCTGAGTGTTGTGGGCAGGTGTGAAACCAGCAAGAAATATGTTAGCTCTATGTAGTGCTGCTTAGAAACAAGCTGTGTGATCTACAGGGACAGATAGGGCTATCCATTTAAAAAAAAAAGTTTTTCTGCTCCCTAGGATATATGTTTCTCTCCCCTACTCCCCTTTTGGCATATGGGATGTTGTCTGGGGAAACTTTCAGAAATCAGTGGAGTGTGTAGGAAGCTTGACATTTCAGACCTCTGCAGCTCGAAAGTGAATGTGAAAAATGGCTTCCACAAATTAGGCCCAGGGTCTTTTGAGTAGCAATACACCATTCATCCAAAGTAGTGTGTTTTACCCCCTTCATCTCATGTTTTGGTCTCTGTTGACTAAAGCTTTGTTTCTCCTAAGACCTTCAAAATAGAAAGGTCTAAAATTTCAATAGAGTAAATGATTGTTGCAAGATTGTCACTTCTGAAGTCTTAAAAAAGCAGTTTGGTTACTTCATTGCGAGGAAGAACTGTTTTGAATTGTAAAATTGAATGTTGAGTATTTGCAGATGTTGAAGTCTCCCAAGAGTCCTAACTGGAAGAGAGCAAAACTTTTAGGTTAGCTTTGCTGGATATGCTTTGTTTAGCCGTAGTGTTAGCGTTAACTAATAAAAGTAGTTAATCTCTAATGAAGCCCTAATTTTGAACCAGCTATAATATTGTTCCTCAATTACCTAAGAAAATATTGGAAGCATGGCAAAAACACAATTTTTCAATTCAGGAAAACTGTTCAAAATCTGAGTATCCTTGGATTTCTAAAAAAACAGAAAAATCTTGAAATGACATGGCATTTTGCATATATTGCTCTGTGAAACTTGAACAAACAAGCAGAAAAATAACAGCGTAGGTGAAAAGTATATTCAGGTGCTCCTCTGCTCTGAAAAGTGACATGCAACTTGTACCTTCTTGCAGTTCTGCATATACTCAGGTATTACTGCTCAGCCTGTTGACTGATGCAGTTATTGCATTGAGATCTGCAGCACCACCCAAGGTGTTTGAGAGGACTTGGGTTCATCAACAGATTTAAGCATCCATAGCAGGGCATGGCTCTGTCCTCCACTACCTGTTGCATCCTTTGTAAGGCAGTGTCACTGCACAGGGGATTAAGATTTGGAAAAAGGCACCCAGTGCCTGTTAGAGAGAGGATGTTACCCACTAGCTAGAGGTAGATATGAATGACAAAGGGAGAAGTGGGGCCAGTAAGAATAGTTAGGATGAGAATCTAAACTTCTTTGCCATCTTTCCTGGTACTTCTGCTAGAATACTACCCCTGGATGCTGCATGGGGCTCTTGTAGTAGCTGTGGCTAGGAGGAGTCTCTTATTTGAAGCCAGCTGTCTCTACGTGTGGAAACAACTGTTCCTCTTCATCAAGGGAAGGTGAGGTTTCTACTTCTCTGTTCTGCCCCAGCTTCCATTTTTTTGACTGTTCACCCTTGAATAACTCTTGAGCCTACGGTTATTATAGTTTTCCTAAGCAGCAGCAACATTAAACTGGAAATGCTTAAGTTTCATTCCCCTTCTTATGGTTCTAAATATCAGGGTGAGAATTGTGTTAACTTCCTACTGATGCTGCTGGGCCAATATGTGAGCAGCAGCACAGGCACAAGAGGTGTCTGGAGGCTGAAGATGGTGATACTACATCAGCTCACTCTGGAAAGGTTTTTTTTTTTGTTTTTTTTGTAACGATAGGTTTTTTAAGATGCTTTGAAAAATCAGTGGATCTGTGGAAGGTAAAACCAAGGTCAAGCTTTTTCCCCTAGTGAATGGCTCTTTCAAGCTTTGATGACTTGCAGAAAACAGAGCCCGATTTGTTTCCTCCCTTGCTTCCCCCCCCCAGATCCCAGGTTGACTGAATACTTGCAGTTAAAAACCTCTTTTTCTTGTAAACGGAGTGCATCTCTTGTGGAAGCCATTGAGACGCAATAAACCTGGAACCCTGCTATGTAGTCACTTTTCAGAGTAGAACTGTACTTCAAATTAAAAACATACTAAGAAACATAATGCAACTTTTTCTAAAGCAGCTGTTCCCTGCTTGAGAGATTAGGAAGGAAATGCAGAGGAAAGTATTCAATTAACAAGCTTTTTCAGTGACATGTGGTAATACACTGCACTTTCTACCCACAAAGATGTTAGAATAGGAAATAAACCTAGACTTGTCTTAGTGATCATTAGAAGTTCTCTTCATTGGAAGCTCAGAATCTGACCCAAAATCTAATGTAATGGTTTTTGACCTGGCTAGTTTAGTATTTTCTGGCTTGATGATTGATGTTTGAGTCTGGGAATTTGGAGCATTATTGATTTGACCTCTTTTAAATTTCAGCAGCTTCTCAAGAGGCAGAGTGAGTTAGTAAGCAATGAAAAATATGTAAGTAATATATTTTACTAGTTAAACAGTTTAGGCATACATTTTTTGTACTTTATATCTTCTTCCCAGCATAAGGAAGGTGGACCATCTTTGCTTTTGGGGACTCTTCTTTCTATCTGTCTATCTCCTCTCCCCTCTCTACCTTCTCCAAACTGTGGGCACAGTAGCAGCTGTACTTTCTCCTTCTTGTAGGTGTGCATTCTACTTGCTGATTGGTATCTCTGGCTGGGGATTTGGGATTATTTTTGTCTTGTATTACTTAGCAGGTTTGGGTGAATTCTGCAAATGGGAAGAAAATAAAATTCATAACTCGAAACTGGTGAACCCATAGAAATTACGTGCCATCGTTCTCTATAATAAATATTAAAGTTAAAGCATTGTGTCTTGGAAACATCAGATATTTGTGATACCTCCTGTCATACATAGGTTAATTTGGCAGCCTCATGTCTGGATTATAGTGTTTGAGTACATGTAAAAAAGAAAAATTATCAGCATAAGAATAAAAATTGCCTAGCATTCCTATAATTACAGTTGCAAGTGTATGTCTGCCATTCTGGAAAGCTAGTACCACCTGAGTAACACAAGGTTTTGTGTCTTAGACCCTTCGCAGGTGTTACAGTCGAGTGAAAGAACATGGTGTTGGGAAAAGGAAAAGCAGTTACACATTTGAACAATTGGAACAGGTGTTTGGTCAGGGAGGATGGGACTCTCAGCCCTGCCAGCCTGTACTCATTAACAGCAGTGGCTTGTACCAGGAGCTGGAATCTGATGGCAGCACTATGGAGGAATATTCACAGGAGGATTGGGGAAACCACAGTCAGGATCTTCATTGCTACCAAACAGGAGAACAGGAGTTGGGTAAGAAATCAATTATTGGTCTTTTTATGTTCTCTGGCATTGTCCTGGGAGCTGCTTTAGTACCACACTTCCTCTTTGGCTACTTCTGCCTTTTTGGGTAGAAACCTTTTAAATGATCCTACAATATGAGGTCCCAAATAGGGACAGTAAATCAGAAGTGGGGAAAACCCGGTCTCTTACATTGTGCAGTTGTATAAGTTTAGAGTCCAATTTATATGCTGAAGCTCAAAAGTAAGCCCTGGCTCTTGAAAAGTCTTAAAACACTCTCTTTCTGTAACTATAATTTGAGTACAAAATGCTCACTTGCTGGTTTCTGTTATTAGACTCTACTTGTTAGAAATCTCTGCTTCCCATTCAGGTATCCTTATTTGTTGGCATTTTGGTGAGTTTTATTTAAAACATGTAAAGTTGCATGTAAATGTGGAGCTGTTCCTCACGAGGCGTTAGTGTGGTACTTGACCACTTCAGTCCTGCTTAAAAGACAACTGGGGGGACGGGGGAGGGAAATGGGATAATTGATTTGTGTTGTCAATACCCATGATCACTCAGTGTTGTTGTTGTGTTTTTAAAAAACAAAACAAAGCAAAGCAAACGCTTGTAGTTAAAGTAAAATTACGCTTATGTCAATAGGAATCAATATAAGCTCAGGTAAGGACTTAAAACAATCAAACTAACATAATGGTTTACCAAGAAAATCACCACATTTTGCCTTTACAAAAAATGTCTTCCCATACTGTTGCCTAACCCTGATAAAGGATTACAGGAGGATCTGCTTTCTTAAGCTTATTTGCGTTTTGAGTTATCCTTAGAAAAGCTGCCTATGGAAGCTCATAGCTATCAAGGTTAATTAACTTCCAAATGGAATTTCTTTGAAAATTAAGGAAGTATTGAGAAGGATGAATAGATAAAGACATAACTCTTGCTTTGTTTTGCACCTTATTTGTCGAACAATATGGGGGGGGGAAAAAGGACATAAATGTGCATCTTCCTATAACAGTGTTCAAGGGATGGGTACATTCTGACGTTGCACCGGTGGCGGAATAATTGTAATTTTATATGAAAATAGTAGCCCCCCTTTATATTAACTGAATACTTCAAGTGTGTTTCAAAAACCAGTTGCAGAATGGTTGCCTATGCTCTATAGGTGCAACAGTAGGAAGCTACATAGCAGGGGACACTAGCAGTGTTGTCAGATGCACCCATTGTTTACAGTTGTGTAGAGAAATTACGTTTCAGTAAATGATCATTACTTTGAAATTGCCTTTATTTCTGAAACACCCTTGTAATTTTTTTAAAATCTATATATACTTCATATTTCACTTTGATTCATCAAGCAGTAGGGCGATTAGAAAATTAAATGTGTAGGGAGAATTGTGGAGGGGAAAGTGGAAGGTTATTTCTGAAGAAGCAGAACCCTAATCCCAAATAAAGATATTGACTCAAATTCTGGTCTTGGATTTTGTCACCATTTTCTCTCAATAAAGTTGGTTACATTTATAAGGAATTGGAGATGACAGTATTTTTTTTATGTTCAGAGAACAGTTATGAAAAAAGTACTTGGGACAGAGAATCCAAATGGAATGCATATGCATTTGTTCTGGTGCTTGCACTTCAAGTGTGCTCTTGAAAACAGAATGGTCTCAGAATGTAGCTTGCAGTTAAATCGGGTTCTGATTTAAGAACAGGAATTAATCTCGTCCTTGAAGGAATTTGCATGTCTAGGGGCAGAATATGTTCCCCAAGCTCAGTGACGTTCTGCCTTCCAGCCCCGCGGACCAAATGAGTCCCACAGCCAGTGTTGATCTGCAGGCCAGATCCTGTATGGGAACAGCAAGTGGAGTTAATCCATGGGTGTGATCCAGCTGTGGAGTAACCCTGCATGATGGCACATAAGGTCTTGTCATGTGGACCCCAGGGCTCTCCATGAGTCCAGAAATTTGGTGTCAGGGGCCTGGTGGAAGTGTTAATTGCTGTGACTCTGGAAGCCATGGCAGTTAATACCTCCACCAAATTTCCAGACGCATGAGGAGCCCCATGGGTCAGAGGTAGAACAACACTGCCCTAGCGGAACATGTAGCTTGAAAATTTAGTTACAAAGATGTAGCTAATATAAAAGCTGTGGCATTCATATGCATGTGACTTCCAGATTTCCTTAGAAGGTCCTGCTATATGAACAGTTTTATTGCATTTCAAACCAAAAGCCTTGGGAACACTGTTTTAAAATATAATTTTCTGTTGGTACTTTACCTTTCAGACGAAATGCCTGCCACAAAAAGAACATTAAAGATAAAGCAGGAATCTTCAGAAGATGCACAGTAAGTAATTTATGAATGTTTCTCCATGGAAAGCGTTTCCCTAGGGATGTTGCGCGGGAGGAAGATATTTGAAACTTCTGATAATAATTATAAATGCATTGTGCAAGACTTATACAATTGAATCTGCTCTCTACACTTTTCCAGTTACCTCTAAACATGTGGAAAGCTTCACAACTCTTTTTGGCTTTGTTGTACAGCAAATTAAACAGGGCTTGCTACATGAGTGCAATGATTTAAACTGTGTATAAATACATATCACAAACATTAGGGATGTGTGTGGGCAGCCCTAAAAGTATCATGGGACAGGTCCAGACTTTTGGATCTATTTTGCAATCTCTTTTTCTATCTGCCTGACACTTTGTTCCTTTGGGCAAGTGGGGGAAAAAATGTAAATGGTTATCATATCATAAAGGTATCTTTTTCTCTGACTGTAATTAGAGTAGCTTAAATTAGTATCCAGATATTGATATCAACATATTTGAGAACTACTAGAAAAATACCTCTACAGTAAAAGGAGAGTGGGAAACCACTGGAAATGCCCCTTTCCTTTTCTTAAGTGAGCATGCACACCTAAGTAATGTCTGTACAGGCAAAACAAATCCTGAAATGCCACAGTGAAGGACAGGTGAGCTGATTGTGTCCTGACCAGTAGCTTTTTCTGCAACTCTTTAAAGATGACTTGTTACTTTTCTAAATTGGTTAAATTTGAAGAATAATAGAATTTTACAAGAGAAGACATTTTGCTATCAACAATAGCTATAATTCTTTTTTAGAACGTGGAGGGTGTGTGTGTGTGTATTTTGGGGTGGGGGACCTACTGCCCAACATCAGTTTAATTCTATGTTAGGAAAGATTGTATTCATACATATAAATAGTATAACTTGTGTCTATACTTGAGGCATGAAGAGCATTGGCTTCTGTAATTATGAGGGTTTCAGTTCTAGTGTCCTGGTTCCAGTTTCAGCCATTTCTAATTTTTCCCCTTTTGGACTGGGAGTATCCAAACTTGGTTCATATCTAAAAGTGAACTTTAAGGTGGAGCAAAATTATTTTACCAGGTTAAAATTGAGCTGAAGGAAAATATTTTGTTGCCTCCTGGAATTAACGGAGCTAAAATTCATATTGGAACACTTGAGAAGTGCCTTAAGGGATTTCCTTTAAAGGTAGGGTTTAATTTTATCAACCTGAATGTCATGCTTAAACAGCTAATAAAAGTCTGGGAGGATTTATTCTGCATAGATGCATAGCTGTGTGTGAGTTTAGACCTTTCATATCTTGTCAAGTACCTTTACAGAATACATAGGCAAAGTCTCTAAACCCTTGTGCACTTCTTAGTGTGCAGCAATGATCCCCATACTGTTGTACCTTAAGCGCTACACGTTTGATAGAAGTTTAAAATAATCTATAACTATGCAATGATTCCTGAGCTTTGTGGGAGAAGACTTCTTTCCTGTGGAGCAAAGAACCTTTTATTTCTATATTAATCTTTATCTTGGTAGACCAAATTAAACAAACTGGTTAGCTCTAGAATCCTGCTATTGCTGTAAGCAAGCAAAAGTGAGGAGAAAAATCTTTGCTCCTTCTGGGTTTACTTGATTACATGGACTTTAATTGCACCATCTCAGATTATCTAGTGTAGATATGTATCTAGGACAGGGATCGGCAACCCCCAGCACACGTGCCAGAGCATGACATGCAAGGCCACTTTCCTTGGCATGCCACAGCTAACCCAGACTCTGGGCAGCTTCTGCCACCAGCTGCTCAGGCCAGCTGCAGTCAGGAGGCTCCAAACAGATGCATGAGGCTCAGCAGCCCTGACACCAGTTCTGTGGCTGCAGCAGCTGTGCATGCTCCTCTGTGTGCATGGCCAGGAAGGGGTCTGGGGCAGCATAACACTGCCCAGAGGCACGTGTGCAGCTGCTGTTGCCATGGAGCCGGTGCTGGGGCTGCAGAGCCTGGCACAGCTGTTTGCAGCCTTTCAGCTGCCTGCTACAGCAGTCCAGAGCCTGAGCCAGCTATGAAAGGCAGCTGGGAGGCTGCAAACAGCTGCACTGGGCTCTGGAGCCCCTGTACCAACTCTATGGCAGCAGTGGGTGCATGCGTGGCTTGCAGCGCATGGCAGGGAAGGGGCTGGGGCAGTGCAAACCCCCCCGCCGTCCACCCAGAGGCATGCATGCAGCCGCTTCCAGCAATGAGGTTCAGGCCCCTTGCAGCTCCCCCATCTCTGGCATACCAACTCTATGGCAGCAGTGGGTGCATGCGTGGCTTGCAGCGCATGGCAGGGAAGGGGCTGGGGCAGTGCAACCCCCCCCGCCGTCCACCCAGAGGCATGCATGCAGCCGCTTCCAGCAATGAGGTTCAGGCCCCTTGCAGCTCCCCCATCTCTGGCACACCAAATTGAGGCATGGGTGGAGGTTGGGGTGGCTTTGGCACTCTGGCCAAAAATGTTGCCAACCCCTGATCTAGGAGTTTAGGGGAAAAGGTAATAAAACATCTTATTACTATAATTTAAATTTTAAATTATGATCTTTTCTCCTAATGACCTTCATATTAGGGCAGAGTTTATACTGTTCTTTCATTGTTGAACCAGCTATAGACAGCTTGACAATTTATAAATCTATTCGCTGACAAAGTTAACATTCATTTCTGATATAGTTTCCACAATATGATTGTTATATGACCTTGTTATGATCATATACAGTGTTCACCTTGTACTTTAATATACCAACCAGCACATTGGCTTTTTTTCTTGGAAATAAGAAAATAAGCATTCCAGATGGAATGGTTGAAGCAGAATCCGAACACATTTGGCATAAAACATAGACAAATCCAATTTTTTACATATATTATTTTGTATAGTTTTTGTAGATTCAAACGGAGAGAATCTGTAAACTATTTTTTTCTCCTCTAAAGGTTTATCAACAATGAATGCGTGTTAAGTTTGTGGACCTGAGTAGAAATAAGTGAGATGAAGTTATCTTTCTTTTAGAGGTGCACCGACACATCGGTCCAATACCAGATCGGCACCGATATAAAGCAAATTGTCTGTATCAGAAATCTGCCTGATATGGCCAATAATTTGGCCAATAAATGGCCCGTGCATGTGCACAGCCGCAGAGCACTACATAGGCAGTGAGGAGCACAGCTGGGCAGCTTGGAGAGCTGTATGCAGCTGGTAAGTCTGGTGTGGTGGAAGGGAAGGGCATGGGGGGGGCGGGGTGCATATCAAGGCCCCTGCACTGAGGGAGAAATGGGGATGAGGCAGGCTCTGGGGCAAGCACTGCCCAGCCAGGGTGGGCGGGCGTAGGACAGAGCCGAGGCTTGTTGTGGGGAGTGGGGGGTGGCAGTGGCAGCTTCCAGCACTGCGTGCCACTCGTGCAGGAGCCCCTGGTCCAGCGGCTCATCCACTGCTTGCTCGTCTGGCGGCTCCTGCCGCTGCTCCTGCCACTCATCCAGTAGGGTATGGCAGGGACATGTGTTCCCAGATCTACACAAGGCCGGGACTGTGCCAAGCTCTTTCTGAAAAGGTGGGGCTGGGCTCTGGGTGGGTGGCGGTGGTGCTGGGCCCAGGGGAATATGGGGGGAGGTGCTGCAGTCCCCCAAAATTCACCATAGCTCCCTAAGTCCAGCCTCTCCCTGCCAGAAAGAGCTTGGTGCAGCTCCAGAGCTGTGGAGATCCAGGTGCACCCCCC